ACACAGACAACCCTGTAACAATATGCGTTTTGTACTGCTGTTACACAGCACAAAACGCATAAAAAAGTATGCTTGCAAAGAAGCGCACTGCATGAAACTAAGCGGGAAAAAAAATTAGTAAGTTCCACATTAGCAGTGAGCAAAAAACTGCAACCAGCACTGGCTGAAATTTTACCGGGTGCTGTTTCATTGCCAGCAGCACCTTCTCTCTCTCTCAATACAACTTCACGGAGGCGCGCGCGAGCGATTTCACGAATGGATTTGTGAAAATAACAACATACTTTATCGTCACTGTTCAGCACGCCATACTTCCCAAATCGGACATGGAATGGAGTTGAGAGATACGACCCGTCTGGCTGCTCCACAACAATTAAATCAATCGCACCTCAAACACTAGCAGCAGTGTAGAAAAAGCGCACGAAAAAACAACTGCTCATTTCAAAACCGGGCCAGACATAACGCGGATGGCAAGAAGCGCCGAGGGACGAGGCAGGCTTCTACTCGGCCACAAACCCCCCATGCTGTCCGAACTGGCTTACCGTCAAGAAGTCAAACGCACCACCGAAAGCCCCGTGAGCACTTGGCTGCTTGCAGCGCAAGCTACCCCTCTGCCTTTCGTTGAGGGTGAATATGAAACGGTTTTTATTTTTGAAACTCAAAAATCACAGAGAGCATGCTGGTGGCGCAAGAAATTTCCGGGAAAACAAAACATACCGGAAAGGGAAGCTGGATTAAGTGTTTTGTAGAAATATTTGACATTGTCCAAGAGACGGTACGCATAATCCATCGCATCAAAATCCTTCCTTGCTCACATCCGCCTCACACTGCGTTGTTAGTTCGCGTTAGTTTTTGTCCTGGAATTTCAGGCTCCGCTGCAACAGCACACGGAATTACCAGCTTCATTTCATACGCCAACGGTACACCTTCATAGGCCTGCGCCTCTAGCTGCATCTTTATTGCCGTTTGTGACCGGTTAAACCGGTAACTAACTTAGGAAGCTTAACGCCGCACACTGCAAAGCTCGCGCACGAAACGTGTGACTTCA